AAGATTGCGTTCAAGCATGAAACAGTCTGTCATCGCCGCTTCGTGTTAGTTGACCCCACTGTCCACTTTTATATTTACCTACGCCCTATCACTGATATCGATCACTTTTTACCCAGAGATATATAGCATACCCTAAAACTACATTTTTATTATATAACACGTTCATGGTAAATATGTATATGTACGTGTATGTATGTGGATATGTGTGTATATATATGTATGCGTATGTATATATATATATATATATATATATATATATATATATATATATATATGTGGAGGGTATGTGTGTATATATGTATGGGGGTAAGCGTGTGTGTATATATATGTGTGTGTGTGGTGGGTATGTTTGTGTATATATATATATATATATATATATATATGTGTGTGTGTGTGTGTGTGTGTGTGTGTGTGTGTGTGTGTGTGTGTGTGTGTGTGTATGTAATTGGCAGAATGTGTGAATAAATATGATAAATAATTTAAAACGCAAAAAAATTAACAGACTTACATTTTTCATATATTGTCATTTTTTTATGCGTGTAAATAAATTAAGGATATTTTTTCATTGCAAATGCGTTTTCTAGTTAAGGTTCCAGATAGATAGATAGATAGATAGATAGATAGATAGATATGAACGAACTGAAAAGGGATGAAAAAAAAAGTGCAAGCGTTTTTCGCTGATTTTACTCTTCTTAATCAAAGCGAACACTTATTTACTTCAGAAACCAAACTATGTAAAACTCCACATGTCGTCATGAATGACAAATGATTGTCAAATGAAAATGAATGAATGAAAAATAAATATCTGAAAAAGAAAACTGAAATAATCTGAAATATTTGAAAGAAAGAAAAGTAAACTTACCCAATAGAGTCGACAATGTCGCATTCTTGTAACGTGTTCCCATGGTAAAGGAAAATAAAACAACCAATTTTTTTTTTTTTATATATATCAAAGTTGTAACGTGTGTGCTGTTATGGAGAAGCGCAAACTATCTCCCAGCTTTCGCCCGTTGAAATAGAATTGAGAGTCTAATCAGTAAATTGTTCTTACTACGACCGACTGAGCTTGCGAAATGAGGAGAAAGAGACCAGACGACTTTTTCTTTCTCTCTTTCTCTCTCTCTCTCTCTCTTTCTCTCTCTCTCTTTCTCTCTCTCTCTCTCTCTTTCTCTCTCTCTATCGGTGGTGTGCCTTCGTTGTAGTAGCGGTGAAGGTGGTGTAATTGTTTGTTATTGTTGTTGTTGTTGCTGTTGTGGCCATAGTGGTTGTGGTGGCAGCGGAAGAAGAAGAAGAAGAAGAAGAAGAAGAAGAAGAAGAAGAAGAAGAAGAAGAAATTTGTGATAGTTACAACAGACGAAAAAGAAGAAGAAAAATAAATATTAGAAAAGAAGAAGAGCAAGACGAAGAGATAAAAATGAATAAATGTAGTAAAAATAACAACAGATGAACAAAAAATATGAAAAACAGAAGAAGAAGAGGAAGAAAGAAGAAGAAATGTGTGGTAGCAACGAAAAAGAAGAAGACAATGAAGAAAAACGGGTAAATTTGTGATAGTATCAGCAGAAGATGAAGGAAAATGAAAAAGTGAAAAATGGATAAATTTATGGTAGTATCAGCAGTAAAGAAGAAGAAGAAGAAGAAGAAGAAGAAGAAGAAGAAGAAGAAGAAGAATTCTCAAATTATAAGAAAGAGTGTTTTCCTCTTCAACTTGTATATTGCTTGGATATGAAACGTAGATGTTTATACTTACTTCATGATATCTATTTAGTGGTTGACACGACAAGGAGTTGGAAAGGAAGAACACTTTGGTAATCTAAGCTCTACTAAGAAATTAGTCTTGCCTATTCATTCACCACAAAACAAGTTCTTTTTTTAACCTTTAAAACCTTTCAGAGTTCAATCCTACACATAATTACCTATATTTATATACATATAACCTTCCTGTTGTATATGGGTACATTTGGCGTGTACATAACAGTATGTGGGATATATATGCATGCGTATTGTATTGCCTGTATAATAAGGTATTTTTTTTTTTTTTTTTTACAATTGTGGCTTCAAAATGTTTGAAACCGAGACGGAAAGATGTCTGTTGAATGGTTCCATAAGTTTCGGAATAACTATTTAGCTCGCCAGATTAAGATGGTTTAAGGGTGCAAAGTTAAGGACAATCGAACTC